GTTGGGAAGGTTACTTTAAAATGTATTCCACTACAGATTACAGACTAGGTCAGCTGGCTTAGACTCATGCTTATCCCGTGTCTTTCATTTCTGTGTGATCATAGCAAAACAAGCGGCACCTTCCGAAAACAACGAAAAGAATGTAAAATCATATGATGTTTGTCAAATTTGACTAAGTATCCCCCCCCTCCGCATTCCTACATTTGACTTTGAAAGTAACCTTTGCTTCCTGTTTGAAACAATGGGCGTGGATAGCCGCAGCAGCAGCAGCAATGAGCAAATCACAAGAAAGAAGACCAAATGAAGCGGACAGAGTTACATGTTTTGTTTATGTTTTCACGGACAATTACTATGACAAGTCAGTGCCACTCCATGTTTTCCATGATACCCTGTCGTTTGGTGATAATATCTGCGTTCCTGCTGACCAGAGAAGCTGCTGACGGTATGTTGAAAGTTTTTTGTACATGCTTGGATCGGCTTGGGCTGAAATGAGATAAACTTGCATGTGTCACAACGGACGGGCAGGGAAACGTGAAAATGAAAAAAGTAACTGCTCATTACCAATGCGGGTCCTGGTGGTGGTGATGTAGAAACATCAAAATGATGGGATATCTGGTGGATTAAGAGTGTGTACAGATCATAGCTCTACAGTTTAAATATGTACAGTTCTATTTCTTTTTCAGGACAGTTCATATAAACTAATAAATTCCCACTTATGCGTGATCCCCCCCACTTCACCCACAGTTTATAAAATAAAACAAAAAAGTAGGGTTGAGTTTTGTTTTGTTTTTTGTGAGAGGATTTTTCACATGAGATAAGATTATAGCAATTCACTGGGTAGGAACAGAATTTAGATATAACTCGAACGATCTTCATGCTGGTGGGTGATGTTACAAAATTATGTCATTGTTACATTATCAGCTCAGTACACAGCCAGGGCCTGTTGGTTTTACCTTGAGTACACAAGGACGTGGGAAACTAGCAAAATGTTTTCATTTACCTTTCAGTAGTTTGTCTGTCAGCAAAGTCACACACAAAGAAGGCAATCATCTAGTCTCCTGGAGTTGCATAATTGAGAATTTTAAGATTCTTCTTTTTCAATCTGCTGTGAAAACTTAAGCAATAGTAAGGGTGTGTTTACTAAGTCAATAGCTGGAGCAAAGTATAATCCAGCTATTGACTTATTTTAGTAATATAGCCATGATTTTTGACTGCCTGTATTCAGATTACTTAATACCTA